ACCAATTCCTGAGGAGCAGGACATCCACAGAGTCCCCACCAGGTCACCCCTGCACTGAGCCTTGATCTTTTCCAGGCAGAGTGAAGTGCACATTGCTCACCTCGTGCCTGTCCTGTCCACTGACAGCACCTGAGCGACCTCACCAGTGCCAGAGAATGGCAACATACAGAAGTGGCACACATTTGTGCAAAACTCTCATTAATTTCCTTAAATATTTTACAGAGTCACTACAGGAAAATGTGTAAATTGGTAAAAACCACTTCAAAATGACCACCCTGGAGGGACTTGTCCCCTTTTAGTCACAGGAATTTTGCTGCCCCAGGGTGGAGATCTTGGCTCAGGTGGGGAGTTGGGTGCTGTCACCTCCCTTTTCCCCAGCAAAAGGCAAACCCGACCCTGAAAACACACTGAGATAGACAAGAATGATGTAAATGAGTATTTTTTTCCAAAACAAACCCCTTGAGGATGCCAAAAGACAAAGGCTAATCCATGAGGCTCCTGAAACACAGAGGCTGGAGCTGTGGCAGCTCCAGGATTTCCACACTTTGGGCTTATGTTGGGTTTTCCAGCTGTTTCAAGTCCTTTTTTCCCCTGTTTCCATGACCTGGGAGCAGTGTAGGAAGTGAGGCCTGCAGGAACCATCAGCACTTGTAGGTTGATGCTGTGCAGGATCAGTGCCAAGCTGTGTGTGGCAGCTCGTGGCTGGGAGGGGTGGAGGTATGGAGCATTCTCTGTTGGCTGCAGAACACTCTCTGGAGCCCCAGAAGCAAACGCAGGCGTTCAGGTTTTGCCGTGGCTGCAGAACCCTCCGTGGCTCTGGCACTGTGCTCCAGGAGTGTGAGGTGCAGCCTCCCCCAGCTCCAGCACCACCCCCAGAGCTGCAGCTCCTGCTCTGCCCTGGCACATTCTGTGCTCTGAGTCAGAGAGCTGAGTGACCCTTCTGGAAGTTTTGCCCTTTTTCTGGCATTTTCAGGAGCCAGTGGCTGTCTCAGCCCAGGCAGGGTGAGGTGTCCCCGGAGCAGAGCTGTCTCCATGCAGGTGCTTTCCTGATAACTCTCTCTGGGGCTGCTTTTCCTGGGCCTGAGCTTCTCTGCCCCTCCCTCAGTGGGACCACAGGGTGTTTTTAAGTGCCTAAACCCACCAGAGCCTCCAAGTGCCACCAGCAGCCTCCCATGTCCCAGTGGCCTTTGTGTCTTGTTTGCTGGGAGAGAAATGAGTTACTTTGTTTGCAGCAACTGCCCAGAGTCACCTCAGCATTCTGCAGCCCTTGTCTCCTACTGGTGTCTTTCCTGGGCCTGTTGCATCCATCTCAGCCTCCTGCTGGCACTATGATGCCTGAGGTGACACTGGTGGGTGACTACCTAGCTGTGCCATCATTGCTTGGCAATGTGTCCTGTGGATTCCTCGTCCAGAATAAACAGTGCACAATAAAACCCTCCTGATGGTGTCATTTCTGTGAGGAAGAGCAGCAGTTGCTTCCTCAACATCTGTTTG